AAACAGATCTAGTTTGAGAGTTAGGAGGAAGGGGAAAATGTGAGGAAGAGTGAAGAGTGGAATCATCGGCGTAAGAATGGATAGAATTTGTTGTAGTGTGAAGTAAATCATTGATAAGAAGAAGGAAGAGAGTTGGTGAAAGAACAGAACCCTGTGGGACGCCACTATTGGTAGAGAAAGAGCGAGAAATCGATCCATCGACAACAACTGCCATGGATCGGTTCTCAAGGAAGCTAGAGATGAGAGAACAAAGTGGGGGAGAGAAACCAAAAGAGGGAAGTTTAGATAGCAAAGACTTGTGCCATACCCTGTCAAATGCTTTGGAGATGTCGAGGGCCACGACAAAAGTTTCCCCATAATCCGTAAGAGAGGATGACCAAAGATGGATGCAATAGGAGAGCAGATCACCAGTAGATCTCGCACGGCGAAAGCCATACTGGTGATCCGACAAAAGAGAGTTCGTCCCTCGCTTTAAATATTAATGTTGTTTTCAAGTATGACTCAACCATTACCAATATGTTAATAAGAAATAGCCCAAGTTTGAATGTAAATGGAAGTGTTTATTGTATTCCATGTAGCAAATGTAATTGTAATTATGTAGGACAGACAGGAAAAACACTGCAGCTCAGAATCAAACAACATAAGTATAATATCAGAACAGCATCTGAAAGCAGTGCCTTGTTTGTTCATGTTAGGAATAATAATCATCCCATTGCTTGGGAAAAAAGCTTAGAAGTATTTAAATCATCTTGTGTCACAGAAAGACTTCTGGTTGAAGCTAGTTTGATTAAGGAATTAAAATCAATAAACCTTAGTGATGGTCAGTTCAAAACTGATAATATGTTACATAAATTTATTTGTCAGTGGCCCAAGGTTAAAAATGCTTTGAAAACCTTTGATCTAAATGCTTTGAAAACCTTTGATCTAGATGTATGATAGTTATTTAGTGGGTCCCTTATTTTTGACCTGACCTGACTAGTCACGTCACCCCCCTGAAGGATTTACTAGAGGAAGAATTAGTCAGGACAGCGGTCTTTCTTTTAATAAAATTCCGCTTGGCCCTACGAAGAATAGTCTTACAACGATTCCTAGAAGTAATGAAAGAGGTGTGGGTAATAGGAGAAGGAGATAGTTTCATAGCTCGATATGCCCTATCTCTCACCCTGCAAGCAAGAGAGCAGGAGCGATCAAACCATGATTGTAATGTGAAAGTTTTGGTAGATGGGATAAATGCACTCATACCACCCCATATAACCCCAGCAATGCTGTCAGTACATACCGAGGCATCCAGAGTGGAAAAGCAACATTCATCCCAAGGAAAGTCAGTGAAGAATTCTCGCAAGGATTGCCAGCTTGCCCTCCGATAGTGCCATAGTTGACGTTTAGAGGGGGTTGGGGGAGGTGGTCGTGCCCAGTTTGATTTAATAGGAATAAGGTTGTGATCAGAAGACCCTAAGAGGGCAAAAATTGAGTATGAATAGTGTGAGGGGTTAGAGGTAAAACAAAGATCAAGAATGTTAGCAAATTGATCGTGTCGATCAGGAACACGTGTAGGGTGTTTGATTATTTGTTCTAAATCATTAAGTAAGGAAAAAGAGAGTGCCTCAGCTCCACCTGGGTCATCCCTTGCAGAGCCAAGCCACTCTCTGTGATGTACTATCGTAGACAAAAGTTCCCTCCTTCCCAAACTGAAGCAGTATCGACCGGCACAGCACACCCGCACAAGATAATAATCTCGGTAAGTCAGTTCGGAGACTCATTCCCGTGTCTCAGTTTCACTACAGGGAGCGAACTTTTGTCCACGATAGTACATTGAAATCCCCTAGGTAGAGGATCTCGGTGTTGGGGGTGAGTGGATAGCAACGACTCATGGCAAGAAGTGAGATAGTCAAAGAGTTTGAAATAGTTGGGAGAACAGTACAGTCGGTCCTTAACATACGCGGGGGTTAGGTAACAGAGATACCCGTGAATGTTAAAAATCCGTGTACTTTTGCTGCCCCCCCCCATGTCCTTATTTACCGTATATACCTGTGTGTAGTTTGAGTTTTTAAGACCAAATTATTTGGCAAAAAATTCGGGGTCGACCGCTAAAAGGGTAATAGTTTCGTTAGGTTGAAAAATATTTACCAGTAACTACCAGTAAACAATGGAAACGACGCACCAACGCACCACCAGCTGTGAGTGTCGGTACAGTCGCCAGGGCAGTCTCTTGCATCATCATAGCTAGCCCAAAGTAGCCAAATAAATTTTGTTTCATTACATTTGAAACATCTATCTTTGTTAATTAAATTTGATACAAAAGAAAACTACGATACCGTATTTTTATTAAAATATTGTATTACATCACAAGTATATTTTACCTTAACTGTGACTGAATGAATATATTCTCAGAAATAAATATGGAAATGTAATATTTTGGCTGAAATGACGTACATATTACTGTACAGTGGAAAGTGGGATAAAATTATGAAAACAATGACTTTCGCTTTCTTTCGTTATTCAAAAGATTTTACCGTAATCGCTTTTCGAATGGTTTTCAGTTAAAAAATTGTTGTACTCGTACTGTATTACAATAATATTCTATCCTATCATTAGCCTTATAATCCCACAACTGAAAACCATTCGAAAAGCGATTAAGGTAACATCTTTTGAACGAAAGAAAGCAAGTCATTGCTTTCGTCACTTTCCACTGTAATATGTACATCATTTCAGCAAAAATATTACATTTCCATGTTCTCAGAAATAAATGGTAGTTTTGTTGAAACGTAATTTAATATTAAATGCAAAAATAGCTATAAAAACAATTAATACACCCGTAATGTACTGGCTGGCATCTCGTCCCTGCTCCCGCGTCCAAGGTCACCACTCCTCCCAACTCGCTCCCTCCTCCGCCTCCTCCACCTCCACCGTCACTACTGCCGACAACAAACACAAATGTTTTGTGAATAACTGCACCTCCACTTCCTATGTACAGTACTGAACTGTACTGTGCTGTACATTTTTACAAACAATAAACATGGCAAGAAAAGCTATTAAAAAAAAAAGAGATAAAAACTTCACTTTACTGTACAGTTCCTATCCTCGGCGACAGGACGGGGGTCATCGGGCTCATAGTCACTCAATTCCATAACGGGTGGTGAAGTGGGGGCGACGGTAGATTCAGCTGCTTCCTCACTGCCGCCAGTGATTGGTGTTAAATCTCTCCTTCGGTGATCAAAGAACATGGTGATGGGGAGTTGTCGTCTCTTTTATTCATTTCTTCCATGATGTTTTTGTATGGAGCGAAAACGTCATCCATCCCTCGCATGAATTTCAGGGCACGCACCATGGAGGGGTCCATACTATAGGCCAGGTTTTTCAGTGCCTCAATATTCCTGGTCATCTCCCCCAACTTCTCCAATGTTATTTCTTGGTGCTCTTCCTCTTCCTCATCCTCTTTCCCTTTCGCTTCCTCTTCCTCTTCCTTGCCTGAGTCTACTAACTCCTGTCGATCTTCCTCGGTCAGCTCAGTGTCGTGCTCTTCAATTAGCTCCCTAATCTCATCCTCTGCCATGTCCCGGAAGCCTTCAGCAGCCACTTTCCTTGACAGTGCCAGGGTCCTTCTGAATATTTTCATTAAAATCCATCAAAATCTTTTTCCTTGTCATGGTCTTAAGCACCAAACAGCTCCTCCCAGTCTTCTCCTTGAACAGGGCTAGAGGGTACGTATTTTTCGAATCATTTTCAATTAAAAAAATGTTACAGCACATGTATATTTTACCTAAACTGTGCCCGAATGAATATATTCTCAGAAATAAATAGTAGTTTTGCTGAAACGTGATGTATTTCAATGTAAAATAGGATAAAATACATGACGAAAACAAGAGACTTTACCTAACCTTCCGATGTTCAAGATATGTTACTCGTTTTTTTAGTAGTTTTCGGTTAAAATACTCTTATATTAGTGATATTCTATTCATACTGTGCTTGATATAATACATTCAAGGAAATGTAATATTTTTGCAACTACAATGCTGATGTCAACACAAGCGTGGTTACAGCGAGACTGACTGAGTGAGGGAGAGCTATGCGTGTGTGTGTGAGGTTGCGGGAGCGGGCGGTGCCCCGTGTTCGGTGCCGCGCGCGAGTTGAATGGCGAGCGATTTGAATGTACTTCAATTACTTCAATGTACAGAATATTCCTCCGGCGGGGCAATCCGCGTATTTGCAAATCCGTGAATGCTAAACCCGCGTATGTGAAGGGCCAACTGTATAGGCAACAAAGAAAAATAGTCACAGTAGGTAGAAACATTTTGAGCCAGATGACATCATAAAGGGGAGATTCAAGATCCGTGAGTCGGGCTATAGGTGTACGTGTGTTGCAGTAGGCGCATACACCTCCCTTAGAACGGAAGTAGGTATAAAGGTTGTAGTTAGAGACTTGAAAAGGTTTGGGTGAAGCTGCTTTGGTCAGTTGAAGTTCGGAGAGTAGTAAGAGGTCGGGGGAAGAGGGTGATAGATGATGCTCCACAGAAGAAAAATTGGATCTCAGTCCGCAAATGTTGGAAAAATGAAGTGTATACTGTATACAGTTACTCCTCGACTTACGTCATACTTGACCTACGACCACCCCGACATACCACTGCCCTAGTCGTACCAAAATTTTGTCAAATTACGTATTTTCGAGTCTCAACATTAGTGATTGCGCTGTGTACGGACAAAATTTTTGTTTGTAATTCTCTTTAAAATGGCTGGCAAGCTTAAAAGTGAGTGTTTTGTGGTGCTGCGAAGAAAAGGAGACACCCATTTTAAATTTTCTATGTATTATTTAAGCATTTTCGACTTGCGCCCATTTCAACTTACGATCTGGATTTGGGTCCCTAACCCTGTTGTAAGTTGGGGAGGAGCTGTATTCAATGCACAAACACAAAAGTAAAAAGTACCAGAAAATTTTTGTTTAGTTATGAAATGTGATCCAGATTGTCGATCATATTTACAAGGCTATATTAAAAGACTCGAGCAACTGTTGCAGATATTTATTAAATTATACAGCAAAAAAATGGTATGCATTATACAGTGAATCATACTGTCAGAACTTAAAATTAAGTTTCAGTAACAGTCATTTTTCAATAACCTTGGCTGACAAAACTAATACATATATTGTACTGAAATTTCACTGATTTTCTGTTGATTGACTTTACTTTGAAAAACTTATCATCTAAATACAGCCAAGGAGAAGTATTCTCAACCAATGTTCATATGTTTTGGCTGTGATGTCCTCTGTATCATCCACAATGCAACAATGCTTCCGAGTTTCAGGTGGCAGGAAACTGGATTAACCGAAACAACCTCAAGGATCTTTTGCTATGATCTAATTGGTTTATTCATTTTCACATTATAATGAATAACGGCAGTAAAATTAAATTACTCGAGTAAAAAGTACCTGTACTATATATTTCCCCTTACTATGGGGATGCCACTTTTTAATATTTTACTTGGCTCATAGGGGAACCATACACAATGGGGCTAAAATTACTTATATAAAAGTATTATAAAAAAAGTTACTGGTACAGGTATACCCCGTAAACCAACGGCTCCTTATCTGCTGCTTCGCATAACCAATGAGTATATGTTAGGGAAATACCTCGCAAGTTTCACGGACTACCCTGTTGAACTGACGACTGGAGGGGGAGTGGCAATAGCACTTCTGAGTTTGGCGCACGGTGGTGTGGTGCAAATTCTTGCCATGAACACATACGCAAATTTGTATTTTGCGAATCAAGACTCTACAGTGTATATGTTGTTCAGATCTCTCTCTTCTCTTTTTTCTCTCTCTTCTCTTATCTTCTTTCTTTTCTATTTTCTTCTTTCTCTTATCTTCTCTTCTCTCTGACTTTGTGTGTTATGAAATCATGCCTAAATACCCATAAACAATGGCTAGCTTTTTAAATAGAGTATATATTTGTCTTTAATGGGGATAGTGTGGTCTAACCAGATGTAATGTAGGTCTAACAAGATCTAATTGGTACAGACTACACTTGATGTGTGGGACTGGCCATTGCCACGATCACAAGTTCGTTTTTAATTGTTCATTATTATACAAAAATCTCATATAATCATCCTATTATGGTGTATGTTTCATCATAAATAATATAACACACAGTATTAAATAATAGAACAAATTATGATAGCACAGTATATAACTTGACTTCAAAATAAAAGACAAGCCAAATCACAAGGAAATCCTCTTCCCTTGTTATTTGGCTTGTCATATTTTGTTCTATTTAGTATTGTATTTTATATTATTTATGATTAAACATACCCCATAATAGTTTATCATGAGACGACTGTATGATAATAAAAATAAAAATGAACTTGCGATCGTGGCAACATCCAGTCACACACATCATGTTATCTCATATCTATTAGCTCTCGTTAGGCCTAGGTCATATTTGATTAGACCTCACTATCCCATCAAAGACAATACTGTATATACTTTACTTAGGTAGCCATCGTTTCTGGGTTAAACAGAAGAGGAAGTATCGCTGGGGCATTTCGGCATGATTGCATAGCACATCTAACACGCAAAGTCGGAGAGAAGAGAAAAGAAAAGAAAATAGAAGAGAAACAAGATAAGAGAAAAGAAACAACATAAGGTAAGAGAAGAGAAATAAAACATGAGACAAGAAAGAAAATATGAGAAGAGAAGAGAAAGAAGAGGATAAAGATAAGAGAAAAAAGAAAGAGAAAGAAGAAAATAGAAAAGAAGAGAAAGAGATATGAACAATATACTGTATATACTGTACAGTCTTGAGAATTCACCGCCCATCAAACTCAAGAGAGCCCTGCCACTCCTCCCATAATCGCAAGATTAACAAAACTTGCGGGGCATTTTCCCATTATGAAATCATCGGTTATGAGAAGCATCGGTTTATGGGACGTCAGTTTATGGGGTATACCTGTACTTCAAAATATAAAATAGTTACTGAAAAGCTACTTAAGTAAATTAAAAAAGTAAATATACTTCTTTACTGCTCATCACTGGATGGTAGGGTGGGCCAGCTGTCAAGTAAGATTGGAAAAGCCTGTACACTCTTCACTTCAAGTGCACCATGAATTTCTGTATTGAAATAAGCATGACACTAATCTGCACAGTTAGGTGGCTAAAGAGATGTAAGAGTTGGTGACTCAGGAGACTAAATACAAAGACAATGGATGCCATCAGCAATGGAAGGACAGGGTTGATGAAACGTAATTCAGGTAGTGGCATAAATTAAGTGACACAGTATTTTCAAGATGACACAAAAGAGGGTGACATAAACTGAGGTATTACCGTACACTGAAATTAAACCAGAAGCATCAAACAGCTAACAATATAGTGTCCATGAAAACTACTTGATACTCTATTCAGCCAGTTTGGTACAAGTTGAAAATCTCTACAAAAGTCATTCACTGTTAAGTGACAAGTGAGACGTGCTGTTTTTCCAGTTTAGAACATGATATAAACATTTTTAAATGTTGGTTGTTACAACACAACAAGCACTACTAGGTGGTTGTCATACATCACTCCTGGCTTCATCACAATCAGTTACTGTATTTCATACATCTCGCAAAGTTAAGTTTCCTATTTGGTTTGTTTTTAAAGTATTACAACGAGTGAGACGTCAATGAAGAGCTTATTATTGTACACTAACAAAGGAGTTATTATCTAAATTCAAATCTTGGAATGTTCTACAAATTTTTAAAAATATTACAGAAAGTTCATACCACTCCCCCTAAACATCTAAATGTATTTCAACTTATTAAGTATCAACAAAAAGTTCCATCACTGCACACAACTAGAGCATTTTTGTCTTTTCACACTATTATTTGAGAACTTAGTTGAAAATATTTCTTATTGTTCATTTCCTGAGGAGAATCACCACCAAGGAATATTATTGCTTCCATCTTCTCAAATTTTTTTAAAAATATCCAGCTACCTACTGAGATAATAAAATGGCCAGATAGACTGGATAATGAGCATCCTACACATCCCTAGTTACCACCAAGGAACAAAGCCTAAATTTCAAGAATATCTTGAAGTGAAAACATTCTGCTGTAGAATACAATTACTGGTATGTGAGTGAAGGTCAATAAACAAGAGGAATTTACAAACAAGAGATAAATACCAAGATGATGCAGCCTAAGAAAAGTTTAACACACATATCCTCAATTGTTCCATGTCATGAACAGGTCCATATCTGAAGCCAAGCCACATAGCATAAACTACCGTCTTTTTCTCTAAAGCAATGAATCCATCCACTGCAGATTACTGGAGAGCTTAGGGTAAGAGATTGTAACACAAATGAACACTGCAGCATGTGTATGGACCTTACCTTTACCCATTTATAAAACAAATTAAGATGATTGCACTCTCATTTCCATCTTTTAATATCGTTCCTTCTTGCCCAAATGCATGGAACACAAAAAAATAAAAACCTAAATAAAGAGATAATTTGGTTAATACAGAAATATTCACAGAAGAGAAGTAAAATATGTAGAAACATATGGAATCGAAAAATGAGGAATCCTGATTTCATTTACAGCACATGAAATAATTTTTATGTTCTGAATGATTTCCCCTTGATACAGACATTATATAAAAGGCGGCAAAAGCTGAAATCGCTCAATACAGGAATAAAGCCAAATTAAAGGCAAAGACTTGATATGTGCCATGTCATACTTAATCTGTGGCTCTGAATTACCTTCCTGGTATAAAATGTAGTGGGAGCAATTACCCAGTGGGTCATCTACATTGCTGTGAAAAGGCACAGTCTGCTCCTTTTCTGGTATACTCTCTGGGTTAGGTTCTCTGGCCAAGACTATTCCACCACCTGCTTTAATCAGTGTTTCTAGCTCCTTCCTAGATGGATAAGGGTCAGAGAAATTTCCCCAAAGGAACATGTGGCAGCCATTGAAAAGACCCGGGCGCTGGAAAATAAAAATTAATTAAAGAAATTAAAACAAAATATTTCATAAAAGTATAATCACAAAAGATCAATTTATACATATAAAAAACCAAACTCAAACATAATTAGCTATATAAAGATGTGAGGTACTGTACCATTATTTCTGCATTGATTCTTGCTTTTTTAGGTGCACAACTAAAAGTGTTGTGAGTAGAACCAAGTACTTCATAAGGTTGTGGATTCAATGCTACCTCTTGGGAAACACAATCATCCATCCCTTAAAAAACAATAAAAAATTATTGTGCAATATAAAGAATAAGTTGAATTTAACTATCAATCTAAATAGCAATATCAGAAACTGCACCATTAACAGTAAAATAGAAGGACTGATCCTGAGTTCTAGTAAAGACTGTAGCAAAGCAACTCCTGGCAATTCTGATAAGCATCGAGTGTTACATAATACGCAGTAAAGACTTCAGTGACATTATCAATGCGTTTGTTACTTGCAAAGAGGTTATCTGAAACCTTACCTATGTTTTAATGCATGTTTTATTTCTGATGTACTGTCTGTTTGTGTCTTGTCTCATTTGTATATACAGTACTGTTTTTCATAAGAAATTGCATGCTGTGACCTGACATGAGTTTTCTTTGCCATAATTAAACACTTCATAATAACAGATTGTGGGCGTTACTAAAATTAAGTAGTGAAGGGCTCAGAGTCCCCAACACATCTGAACTGCCCAGGGCCCCATAGGCCTAAATCCAGCACTACCTGGCAGGTTATTACAACAGTTCACAACTCTTACTGTCAAAATATTCTCTGGCAGATTATTCCAAGATTTCACAGTTCTTACTCCAAAGAAGTTAGCTCTGACAATTTTCTGTACTTGTAGCTTCTTTAACTTGAGGCTGTGACCTCTAGCGTAAAAAGATAGTAAATATATTTTTGATGTTTCTTGTCTTAGGGAAGCATTAAATATTTTCAATATGATTCATCAAATAAGTTTCTTCAGGTTTAATATGGAACGAAGACAATTGATCAGCTGACAAAAGCCTAAGTTCCCCCAATCTCACTAGATGGCAGCACAGGCACATTGTCTGAAAGTACTAGCCTGCATCTAAGTAGTGCACTCATCATTCACCCCTAGTCTCAACAACAATCCAGGAAGCAGTTGTTCAGACTCAAGGTGAGTTCTAATACTGTATTATGTAAGTGTTGTGAAATGATGAAATGTGTTGGTGAGAAAAAATGGTGCCCGAAAGGATTTTTTGATATATATATATATATATATATATATATATATATATATATATATATATATATATATATATATATATATATATATATATATATATATATATATATATATATATATATATATATATATATATATATATATATATATATATATATATATATATATATACAGGTTGTACCTCTCTAGTCCGGCAACCTCGGGACCTGACCGGTGCCGGACCATGGAAATTGCCGGACCATGGAAATTCACCCTTTTCCTGGATAGAGAGTGACTTGTGCTTAAGCCTGGAAGCACTAGCACCACTTTCTCTGCATCATGGTCTCTTTGAAGACATATTGAAGGGTTAAATGTCGTATTTCGAGATATATCAAGGTCTACTGCATCCACCAAACATTTTAAAATAATTTAATTGACACATCCCAATGGCTGACTAAATCTAAGAACCTTTACATAGCCATATACTGTATTCATAAGCTTTCACAGGGTTGGCCGATTTAAAGCAATGGTTAAAAAAATTTAACCTATGCCTTTTTCTTTGTTTTAATAAGTTTTTAGTTCTTTTTTATTACCTGTACTGTACTTCTAAAAGGTGTACAGGTAATTGATTTATAGTAGATTTGGAAAGGGCATATATGATAGGGTAAATAGAAAAGCATTGTGGGAGGTATTAAAAGTGTATGGGGTGGGAGGAAGGCTATAAATCTTTGTACATTATGTAAATTAAATCAAATGACATGGATATTACCAAAAATATAATAAAAAATACTGAATATAGTTTATTTACATGTGTGAGAAAGGATCCATTTGCCTGACACCACTCCCATCATATACTTGAGTGTCCGCTGATGAACAATTCTCTCTGTCATACAGTTGGCAATAATGTGTGTCACTTCTGGGCTGAAAAAAAAATGGTGGGGGCCTCATGTCAACAACATGTGTTAATGCATACTTGTTAATCCACACTCACACACACACACATTTACATATAGGAATTTACTCCAAATTTTATACAAACTTACTAGTATTGTACAGTACAATTACAATAGAGCAAATTTTATGGAAGTGAATTACTTCAGATATCTGAGAGTAGATGTATCAGCAAATGGAACAGTGTGTTATAAAAGCAGAGGGGAAGAAAGTGACACTGCACTGAGAAATGTATGGAGAGACAGAACCTTATCACACAAGACAAAGATGAGAACATTCAAGATAATCATTGAGCTGAAATCATCATATAGGTGTGAAGAATGGATTCAAGATGCAAGATGTTAATCTGAAGCAACAGATAAGATGAATTTTAAAGTACTGTATGAGGTGGATAGGATGCAAAGAAAAAAATATAAAACAATATTGATGTAATATTGGTGATAGTAGAGAGCATAAGCAAAAAAAAATTCACTTTGTAATAAAAGCACCAAATTTGGTGGAGTTGTAGCTTCATTTTTGCTTCAGAGCAACACCGGTGAATATGATCCTGGAAGGGACAAATATTGAGCACTGAGTAAACATAAAAGGTAAGAGAAACATTGCAGCATATGCAATATGTCAACTCCTAATCTACAACAGTGTAAAACATAGGTCGTCCCATGCAAACACTGTACACTACAATTCTGACAAAAACATCTTCCAACACACAACGGCTTCAAGCTGCATGTGAAAAGCAAAAAGTAGGGCCTAATTGAAAACCAGAAAAAACTAGGCATATTGATATCATACAACCATGTAATGGAGATATCCACAGACTTTGCCAATAGTGTTTGTGGGCATTACAAAGAGGAAGACAATGAAATGATTTACAAGCAGAAGAACCAGACAACCTAGATAATGAACCAAAATCTACCAATTCATAGTGGTAATTTCAAGGCTATGCCAATTCCTTGACCAGCCACTTGTTACAATGGTACAGTAGCTATATTTACTTGTATATATAGCAGGAGTAACTATAACTATCAGCATAATTCCTCAGAAACATCTTTAACCCTAGAACAACAGGATTGTAAATACAAGTAGATGACGAGCACCTATTGTCCCTTACGACGGTGATCATCTATATAATCAAGATTTTTCCACACCATAACTTTTAAGTTTGACACCTGATTTTTGCTCGACTGATTTATTGTAACTTAGGCAACCTTTCCCTCCCCACGTCCCTCCCTCCATCAGTTGCGCTTTTTGTCATTGTAGAAGAAGTATCCGGCAATTCCAGTGATGTGTTGCACGGAAAGATCCCTCACTGCAATAGTAATGCCTTGACTCCCTAGAAAAATAATTGAAATATTATGGCAATCAGAGAGTGAGGGTGAAATTGAAGAACTGGTAGATTTGATGCGTAAATTTGGATATGATACCTCACGTGTGAGCCTCAGCAATAGTGACACCGACGAACTAATCAGCGAAGGAGAGGTACTCGGAGACTAGGAGGAAAGTAATGCGAAAAGGGAGTTAGAAGTGCTTCTCCACATATTACATGAGGTGTTCATGGTGCAGGAGACTTATGTAGTGGTGATGATTTGGATCACACTATCACTGTAGTGAAATGATGATACAACACCACCATGAATGAACTTTTGTTTGTTTTCACCCTTACCAAGTTAATATCATAAGCCCATAAACCTGTTCTTTATGATTACTTAAAGAAATACAACTGTGTGAGGACACCTGAGTTTGGGAAGTACTGTACATGGACAGGTAACACCAGTGATGTCACAACTCAAATCCACATTCCTCATAAGCTCAGCCCTATCAAGTCTCAGTTTCCATAATTATAATACAAAAAAAAACAAGAAAAAAAACATGATTACTGTATCTTGGTACCCTGTTTTATTTCTCATCAAAATAAATGATTTGTCTTATCAAAAATTTTCATTCCCCTGAAATGTCACAGAATGGGGAGGGGGGGGGGGGTTAGGGGGTCAGGAGAGGGATACCTTCTAACACAGTTAATAATTTTATTCTCTGGTAAATTTACTTATTATAAACAGTACAGTACGTATTGCATGTGATCTATTATTGAAGATGTTATATAATTCATGAGGAATTGTACACCACATGGGGCTGATCATATGAGAATATAATAATGAATCAATAATAAAACAGGTCCAAAGCTGGCTTACCTGGCAATGCCTCAATCCCTCCTACCTGGTCACATATGCAGAATTTTCCCTCCCATTGTAGCTATGTGGCTCTCTTTAGGCTTACAATGAATTTGATTACACCACCGTATTCAGTGAGCAAAAGTTGTCCTTTTCAAAAGAAAATATAATTTTACCAAATTTTTTACTCATTTTTCCCCACCAGAGCAAATAGTCTACATAAAAAGCTCCCATTGTGTAAGGGTTAAAAGATGAGCCAAGTACTTCCAGCTTTCAAAATATTTCACCATAGCTCTGTAGCAAAAATCAAAATGTACACTTCACCAAATTGATGCGTTTATCATAATCTGAATAACTCTTGGCATTTGGCCAGCTTTGTGTACTCTAATGAAGGGGGCTACATACATACATGAATCTCAAGTGACAGGGATGAAAAGGTTCGGTGGAAGCCTACTGGAAGGACAACAAGTGGATGGAAGTAAGTAGGAGTAGAAATAGGTGACATGGCTTAATACAGCATGCCTGATTGTTATAGGATTGTAGTAACAGACCAACAGCAGCATGACCAATGCAACAATACCCACACTGCCGCAGCTCAAACCCAGAACCTCAGTACGCCCCGGCCAGTAGATAAAGAAGAATGGTTAGTAGTAGAATTATTTGGTGACAGGTAAAGTTAGAAATTCAGACATTAGTAATGTTTAAGAAAGACAAGACACCATTGTGTCAAGCGGGTTATGGGAAAAGAAGTAATGTTGACAGGTGATGTTAGGTTGTATGAAGCAACTGGAGTAAACCAAATAGATATTAAGAGCCTTGCTTTGGAAGGAGAATACCCTAACACCGAAGCAACAGGGGTAAACCAAATAGATATTAGGGGTTTAGCTGTGGAAAAATATCATAATATATCAATTACAGTAAAAAAGAATATTTTACTGAAGTGAATGTAGTCTGGATTTGATACTCATTCTAACCACCATTTATAGAGCAGGAAAAAGGCATGAAAGTGAGAAGATAAAATCCACAACATTAATCAGCTTCTGAATAAGCTTTAAGCACTTATTTCAGCAATATGGTGTTTGGAATGAATTTTTGAAGATACATATGCTCTGAACTTCATATTTTACTAAGCTTTGTGTTGTATTTCTTTGTGAAGGAACATATACAAGTGACAAATTGCCCTCACCTAAAATCAGTCACCATCCTTGCTCGCAATTCTTTGGCCAGGTTATCTAATATTCTAGTCTGCTCAGTAGACAACCCACAACCAGAGAGCACAATTCTGTTCAGAAGGGGCTTCATTACTTCTGGTCGTTTCAAGGATGTGTCCACTGGAGTATCAAGAGCATTATTTAGTTCTGTAACTCCCACACACAGGGAAGCCAGGGACCTGTTTCAAGGAACAAATGTAATCTTTATATATAAAAGATATAAAATTGTAGAATTTGTTTTCTCGTGGTTCCCTGTTAGTGAAATTTAGTCAAGATTAGCATTCACAATGTATGATGTAGGTAAAGGAGTGGTGGATTGAAATAGATGCAATTTTAAATTCCTTGAAAAAGGAGTTATTAATGATGCCTAAATTACATGATCCTTATGATATACCCTTCTTTTCACTCCTCTCTCAACCAAAAGATTGATAATACTTGTACATTCAATTAACACTTCTAAATGTGAGGGAGAATTCTTATGGGCCATGTCAGATGTGAGCGGCATTGTTTTTAGTATAAGAAACAATGTCTGAGTTAAAGTCCATTCATTTGTGAGAGGCAGACAAAATGACTATGACCATGATATTATCAGTTATAAAGATGATTGTTGACAAGTAGAAACACCTGATGAGGCTAAAATAATAAAAAAATAATAATACGTAATAAAAACTTAAGACAACATGAGGTAAAAAGCAAAACAAAATAAAAAATCCTGCTAGATTTTTTCTGGTTACATGCCCTGCGTGAGAGAGAGGTGTTACTGGGGCACTGAGTATAGGTATAATTAAATATTTCTACATAGTAAGATCATAATACTGTACATAAAGTAGTATACTTGAAACATAGCAAGTAAAATTTTAAGCACAATGTAATAAAATCAAGCTAGTACATTAATTTTTTAAAAACAAAGAACATAAAAGGCCAAATCATTCCCAACCTGGGTGTACGGCCAAAGAGATTCCTCGCTGTATCACTGGCGCCCCATGATCTGAGAAGCTTGACCAACTCTACTTGACCTTGAGACACAGCATCATGAAGTGGATTCTCATTACTGCCTGCAGGTACATCTACTATTGCTCCATGTTGCAAAAGAAGTTCAGCAATCCCTTGAAAGCCATGGCTGCAAGCTTCATGCTATAAATATGAAATACAGTGGTCCCTCGGTTAATGAACAGTTCGATTAACGAAATTTCGGTTAACGAATTACCTCCCATAAGGATCTTCAATTCGGTTAACAAACAAAACTTCGATTAACGAAATCCTTACGACAAACACGTTTTGTTGTGAGCATCAGCTGATCGGCTGATGGGCTAGTCTGACAATTCAGTACAGTGGTCCCTCGGTTAACGAGCACAATCCGTTCTAGAAGGTTCCAGCTCACCGAAAATTGCCTAAACTCAACAAAAAAAGGTAGAAAAGTACACTTACTTTGAGGTGTGTATGTAGAAGGCTCCTGGGTGATGATGATGGGAACTAGAATAGGGGTGGAGGGAGAAGAGAAGGCATTGGGGTGGAAGAGAAGTCACCCCATGATGCCATTTCACACATAAAATTTTAGTTCTCTTGGTGTAATTCAAGATTATTTTCTTTAAATTAACACTGCACTGCATTATATATTGTCAACATGTAAAATAAATTTCAAAATGACCAATAATTTGCTTGCAAACACAGAAATAAAGCGTTTAGTTGAAGAGAGTCTCAAGCAAGATGTTACCTCCACTGAAAAGAAAGAGAGACTGGCACCTGTTTGGTGTGTTGACAGGCTGGATGGCGCGCATAAAACTACGTAGTTTCCTTACCTTCAATTATGTTCAATATTTGTTAAAATGACTAAAAAATTTAATATTAAAATTTTAAAATTATTGAATAGTATAAACTTCTTGATATTTACTAAAATGGTAAGGAATTTAAGCCCTAGAACCGATTACTGTATTGGCGGACTAATACTACAGCTGGTGGACCGCCAAATGCAAGCGAAAACATGTTGAGGTCGGCTCGTAAGAAACTCGTTAATCGAGGGATTGCTCGTTAACCGAAGTTAAGAATCTTATGGAAGGTAACTTGTTAACCGAGGCGCCTGTTAACCGAGGGACCACTGTAATCTGTTCTATGTTTACATTCGTTTCCAGTGGAGTAAATGTCAAGAAAATTGTGCTTTTTATTATTTGTGCATTTTTTATATTAAAATTATTGGTCATTCTAAAATTTAGCCATCCAAGCTCTGTCCTAAGGGCAAAGCTGTACTGTACATGTAATCAAAATAATGTACAAAATGATTCCTAAAATTTTTGTCTAGTGCAAACTATCGCATGTTTACATTCAAATTAATCACTATCTTATAAAAATTCCAGCAATGTAACTTCTATGACATTTTATAAGCAAAACACCAAAAACTCAATCTAAAGGACATAAATAAACAAAGAAATACTTCACTAGACCTTCGGCACCAACTGTCAAACATGTCACTGTCACCCCTCCTTCCCTTTCCCCCCCCTCCCAGCAAGGGTTTGGTGGTTATAGGCCTACAGTTTTATCTTATATAATATCACAGACTATAGTTAGGAGAACATAATTTGCATTGCTGGAACCCTTGCAAGACAGTGAATAATTTGAATATAAACATCATATATTTTGCACAAGAGATAAAAATTTTTGTACATAGTGTACTGAAGTACATTTTATAATGTAAAGTTTTTCAACTGTATTTTTGGGTAGATTTACATAAATTTCTTCATTTATTTCCATTCAATTACATGCACACACCACACTAAAAGAAACGTAAATGAAATAAATGACCTAAGTGCAAACCTGTACTGTACATGTACTAAATGATTACGATACCAAAATTGTTATGTCTAGTGCAAATTATAGCTTGTTTATATTCAAATTAATCACTATCTTACAAGAATCCCAGCAATGTAAATTATATTCTCCCAGGTCATTTCACTGGCATTTTAAAATGAGAGAAGCTTAGTCACTTAAGGACTGTTAAATAATCACACGAGCCCTTCGGCTCCAACTGTCAAACATATCCCCTCACCTCCTGCTCGCTCGCTCGCTCGCTCCCTCCCTCCCTCTCCCCCAGCCAGGGATTTAGGCTTACAGTTTTTATCTTGTATAATATCTCAGACTAAAGTTAGGAGAATATAATTTGCATTGCTGGAAACCTTGCAAGACAGCGAATAATTTGAATATATACGTCATACATTTTGCACAAGATATAAAAATTAATCACCTGTATCACGCACGCACGCACACACGCACACACACACAGTATTACCCCGCTTTACACGGTTTCACTTTCCGCGATTTCTCATTTATGCGGTACCTAGCCAGAACCGGACTTTCACTTTCTGCGGTGCATCTACTCATATACGCGGTGAAGTGTAATTTTTTTTTTTTATTTAGCTCATAAAATTCATAAAAATTACCCGGCCAGAATATAATTTACATTGCTGGAATTCTTACAATACGAAGATCATTTTGAATATAAACATCATGGATTTTGCAATAGACATACAAATTTTAGATCTTATGTAATAATTTGGTGTACACAAAGCAAATATTTTATCTTTTGTGCAAAATATATGAAGTTTACATTCAAAATATTCCCTGACCTGCAAAGAATCCAGAAATGTCAATTATATTATCCTAACTTTAGTCTGAGTTATTATTTATTACTAAAAATGTAAATATACTATTTTCTCCCAAAGCTTCTCTGGTAGGGAGGGACAGACCCAGCTAGGGCGGAGTATTTTGATTGACAGATAGTGTCCTTGAAGAATATTTCTTTGTTTATTTACTGAAGATATATATTTTAGCTCATAAAATTCACACACATTACCCGGCCAGAATATAATTTACATTGCTGAAATTCTTACAATATGGTGATCATTTTGAATATAAACATCATGAATTTTGCATTAGACATACAAATTTTAGATCTAATGTAATAATTTGGCGTACACAAAGCAAATATTTTATCTTGTGTGCAAAATATATGAAGTTTACATTCAAAATATTCCCTGACCTGCAAGGAATCCAGAAATGTCAATTATATTATCCTAACTTTAGTCTGAGGTATTATTTATTACTAAAAGTTAAAATCTAGTTTTTTCACCCAACATTTCTCTGGTAGGGAGGGAAGGTGGGGGGTGGGGGGGGAGGGTTGGGACCGACCGACCCGGCTGGCGTGAGTGTGAGGAGGAGGGGAGAGGCAAGTTGGGGTACTTTGATTGACAGATAGTGTCGTGAAGAATATTTTTTTTTTTTATTAACTGAAGATATTTGTTTTAGCTCATATAATTCATACAAATTACTCGACCAGAATATAATTTGCATTGCTGGAATTCTTACAATATGATGATCATTTTGAATATAAACATCATGGATTTTGCATTAGACATACAAATTTTAGATCTAATGTAATAATTTGCTTTACACAAAGCAAGTATTTTATCTTTTGTGCAAAATATATGAAGTTTACATTCAAAATATTCCCTGACCTGCAAGGAATCCACAAATGTCAATTATATTATCCTAACTTTAGTCTGAGGTATTATTTATTACTAAACGTTAAAATCTAGTGTTTCACCCAATCATTTCTCAGAGAGGTAGGGGCCAGTGAGCTGGGAAGAGAGGGGGGGGGGATTTGAGTCCATTATTTGAATGGACATTAACCTGGCGACTGTATTTCTCTTAAATATTAATTGTGTGAGCATACCATAATAAAATTTAGATGTTATTTTTACTACAACATCAATATTGTGTCAGAAAAAGCGGAGTTTGGGGGTCGGGCCAGTCTCTATTGGAATTAATCCCATATGTTCTGTTGTTCACTTTACGCGGTTTTCACTTTCCGCGGTACCCTGTGGGTTCAATTGACCGCGTAAATCGGGGTACTACTGTATATATATATAGATAGATAGATAGATTTAAGGGCAATTTAGGAGTGTTTCTGACTTTATGCATTTTTGGCTTACTTTGTATGTACTATTCTGTGAGCTGGAACCAATTACCAATTACCATTTTCGGAAATAATATAGGGTGGCTGGAATCGAAGGCAAATACCTATATTGTACTGTACTACCCAATCTTATGGACTGAAGCACATTCTGCAGTGCATTGTTGGAATAAGTAATAAAAAGTGATTCAAATGAGTCAGATTTGTTTTGTAGATTTCCACATCACAGAAACAGTGGCTTTAATTTTTTAAAAAGGTGTGCACAACTTTTACTATACAGTACTGTATAAGGATACAATTTTACCTTTATTATCCAACTCAGTTCTAATACAAAGCCAATAGTAATGTACAGTAAAAGAAAGACATACCGTATATCTCGGCCTATAAGGCAGCGGGGTGCATAAGACTGCCCCCAAATTCCATTTAAAAAGTAGCTTTTGAGCTCTATTCGCTGTATAAGTAGTCCTTTACCAACCATCCTTGGTTTTTTAAAATAAGGCCAATTCACTTCAAGTAATGTCATCAAATGTTACCCGCTGGTGTAATGTAAACACTAGTGACATCATTAGCGTCTGCTATTTACAGTAACTGAACTAATGTCTAATTTTGTAAATTTTTTTCCATTTACTTGAAATGGATTTACCGATTTATTTGTTTATTTATTTATTTATAATACTGTAACTATAAAACACACTGCAAGTATTTTCTTTAATTTACGCTTGCTTCGAGACGTGACGATCGGTGATGGGACTGTGTTCCACTGTTTATACAACAGCTACTACAGTAATCTAATTGTGGTGTTTCGTGGGTAGTAGAAAAAGATTACGTGCTGATAACCACAAGGAAAAAGAAGAAAACACGAAGTTCCCAAGCGCTTTCGTGTAATTCACATCTTCAGGGGTGAGTACAGACTAGAGAGAGAAATACAAATCAAGGTGTACAGTATATATACAGAGAAGGGTGAGACCAGGTCCACAATGGTCAGGTATTAGGTAATGACCCTACTAATCTTAAAATAGCACACAATGGTTGGTGGTCAGGTCAGATGGTCAGGTGACCTGGCCTTCTCACCTGGTCACAAATCTTCTTAATTACAAAATTGTCCAGCTTGTACATGCCGTTACTCAAATTCATGTTGAATGCTTCGGTATGTTTAATAAGACTAGATTCT